CGCATATTGCTGAAATTCGGCTGACTCCTCGTACTGATTGATCTCCTCTTCTTCCTCTATCGAAACTATTTCTCCTTCTAAACATGGAGACCATGTTTTGCTCTCTTGTGTGTCTTGAGTAATTCTGTTGATTTGTGGTGGTCGTTTCCGGTTCTGAGTAATTTGAAAATTTTGTCTCGGTTTATTATAACATTGATTTTCCAAATGTCCCGGTTTTTTACAATGATTACAAAACATTTGCATTCGTTGTTGTAACGGTAATCCATGGTTGGGAACATTCGTGGGTTGATTCCTTATGGCTGGTGCATTCCCTCTCGAAAAGTTATTTATTGCTGGGCGTCGCATAGATGCGTAGTCAACTGGTTTTTTCATTGTAGCTGTCGTCAATGCTCGACTTCTTGCTTTTTCTCGGCACCAAACTTCTGCATCTAGTGCTTCTTGAAAAGCTGAATTTAAATTTGTAGGTTTAAATGGTCTGACATGGTTACTGATATCATCTCTTAAGTTCATAACATATCTCTTAGTTGCGGATTTTTCTTCTATGTTCAATACTAATTTTCTTTCTATAGAGTTAGGATGTTCAGATTGTATTGCATAATTAAGTTCATTAAAAGCTGAACGAAACCTTTGGTTGTATTGTTGTACTGTATCGGTATTTTGTTTAATTGTGTCTAATTTTGCTCTACATAATTCAACTGATGTAGTTGCAATTAAATTTGTTTTTAAACATTGGAATAAATCTTCAAAAGAATCAATTATACTATGCCGTATACATCTTTTGGCATTTCCCGAAATTTTTTCAGTCAATATCAAATTTAACAATAGGGATGGATGTGAACATCTATTTCTTGCTTTTTTCTTTTTTGACTGATTTGATAAAATCATTTACTCCAACATCGTCGCTGCCATTTAAATTTTCAATTGTTCTAATAATGTCATTTGCCATAGATAGTGGTTCGATGTTAATTTGGTGGTCGCGTACATCTTTTGTTTTTCGTTGCTTGTCTTCTTTCTCTTCTTCTGAATCTGATGTTGATGGTGTTTGGGTATGTTGATTGTCGTCATCTGTTATGAGGACTTTGGCATGTCGGGAAAATAGTTTAATTTCCTCTGCTCTCTTTAAATGTTCTTCATTTAAGGTTATGAAATTGTTTTTCAACAGTGTCTGTCCCTCTTGAATTATTTTAAGTTGTTCTAAAACTTGTGATAATGGGTCTGTCATTGAGTCCGTTGGCTCAGAAGTTTTTTTGTCATCTATAAAATTCATTTTTGAAAAGCCTAACAAAATATTATCTTCTGAGTCACTAGAATCTGTGGAATAGTTTGTTTGTGTATTGTTCCTATAAATATTAAAAGCCAGTTTTCTTTTTCTATATACGTGTGTCGAGTGTGTGTCGCGGTCGCGAAACTAAAATTTTACAATTTTTATTATTTTAAACCCTTCAATTGTAGGATCGTGCTACAACAATGCTTCAATTTATTAGGGTGAGGTTTATTTTATTAGAGGAGGCATAGGGCGTGGAGCACCACGTCGTACCTACTGACGCAAGCCTAAACACCGTAAATATTTCTTACTTAACCCTACCTGATTGTCGTAGCAATCAGTCACCGTTCAACGTATGTAAAAAGGATTTATATTCAAGAAATATTTATAACAATTTTCGTTTCTAATATTTTATTAAATGAGCTTACGTTGTGATAGTGTTGTCCGATGTACAGTTGAAGAGTCGTGGTCCGGACGTGTCCTTTGGAACTTCAGGATTCTTCTTTCTTGTACTCGAAACTGCTGTGCACTGTGTCTTCGTAGTAAGGAGCCTACTCAATTCAGCCACCTCTGACAACAGTAGATTTAATAATACTAGTCCCGTAGAAACTAGGAGTTGAAAGTTGATTTTGAAAATAGTTCGAAATCAAAGGATCTGCCAATTTGAATGTAGGAGATTATATAATACCGTAGTATTATTTTTTATTTCTTCCTATACCAATCGTTTGACAAATCCTGGCAGGATCGCCAGAAAATGTAATGGGGTAGAATTAATAAAATAAATATAATAAGAAATATTAGTAACCGTAGTTACTATTAACTTTATTAACTCAAAAATATATGCTTACAGTTCCATAGTTTGCTTACAACTGATTTTTAATAGTTCTTGTTCCTCTATTTGTACGTTGTTTTAGGATGGGCTAATACATGTTTTTTAGGGAATGAGGTTGAAAATAGAGAAAGGTGAAAATAGAAATGAAAAGTTTCTATTTTGAAAGTTTTTAGGGTTCGACGACATATATGGTTAGTGTGAAGGATTTAATATTATTAGACAAGTACATCTGCGTTACAATACAACATTTTTTGCAACACCCACCTCTAAAGTTAAGTACCTAATATGAAGAATTCTAACTCTCTATTAGAATAATTTCGATTGTATAGAATTAAATAAATCAATCGAAGATCAGGAAAAATATCATTAGGCAGTAGTGTATAGATTTAATAGTAAAGTTCGTTTTTTAATTTTGTATGGTCTAAAACAATCCTTATATTATGTGAGAGAAATTTCGGTGCGTAAAGTAAATTTCAGTGTGTAAAGTAATATTTCAGTGCGTAAAGTAAATTTCAGTGCGTAAAGTGAACCACTTTACACACCGTTTGAAAAAGAGCTTCTTTACACACAATTTCCGGTGTGTAAAATTTAACTTTAGAGGTTAGTGTTGCAAAAAATTATTTATATTTTTTTTATTTTTATATAACTTACAACAAATTATTGCAATTCCTTTATTATTTCATTATGAAACATAATTGAAAACAAATATTTTAAAAATCTAAATTATATATTCGTATATAAATAAGCAAAAACTTACCAATTTTCAAATATATTTTCAAAAAAAATTTGTTTTATTTAAAATTTTTGTGTTTAACTTTTTTCTTTCTTTACACTTTTTCTAAAATTATTATATGTCACTTTACACTGTTTACTATATGAGAACAGCTGTCACTAGGCGTAGCCATATTTTGAAAACTTATAAGTACACCGCTTTATTGGTAGAGGCGTCAGAATCGGAGATATACAATTTCAAATTTATTCTCATGCAGGGGGCCTATATGCTTAACAAGCAGTGAGTGCTCCTTATACTATTTCATGAGATTACTGTAACCGCGTCAAATTGTGATAAATAAAGTTACATCTGGTTGAATAAATATCGTGAGTTTTATTTCGACAAGTGTTTCTTTCATCAGCGGCTTATTTGAGGTTGGATGGTTGTTGTTCGTCAGTGGTGTCTGCAGTCCAGTCAGCTGATAACCGAGGAAATTGTAAGTAATTATTACATTGAGAGTCCAAGGGAAGTTCTGGTTTCGGCGTTGAATGCGTCTCATGGTGGGTCGACAAATGGGTTTCCTATTTCTTTAAAGTACAGTGGAACCTTGATTATCCGAACCCTCTATTATCCGAACCGAAAAACATTTTATCCGAACTATTTTTTGGTCTCCCGAATTTTAAATTTTATTTTCTCTATTTATTTTATCATTCATTCATTTCTGAGAAAAATGAGTGATTTGGCATCTAAAAAACAAATAGATGCTATCTTTCAAAGTAAAATAACCAAAGTTATGCCAAAATTTTTTTAAAATTTCCGAATTTTATGAGTTTTTAATATATTATTAATTAATATATACTTACATAATATATGTATATACTTATGTATATTTAAAAACATATGTATTAAGTTAAATATATAGTTCAACTGTACATTTTTTTACTTTAATTATAAAAAAAATTAAAATCTCTATTATCCGAATTTTCGATTATCCGAACCCGGCCATGCCTAGATTAGTTCGGATAATCGAGGTTCCACTGTAGTAAATAATTATTTAATTAAGGAAAGACGCAGTTTAATTCAATTTTAATATTTCCTTTGTTACATTTGGCATCCCTTGTGGGGAGCAACTTTGTCGATCAACGAGAATAGAATTTCCTTATTAAAAGTGTTCTTTTTTTGTGGTGTACTATTTTGCATCCAGAGGAAGATTCATTTCTTCCTAGTGTCCTAACCTCAAAGGAGAATTTTGAGGGGTAATGTAGCCGCATTGACGCGATTTACTCTTTCTTTTGAAATTCTCGAATTTTACTACGTGTGTAGTTTATACATAATTTATTCTACGGGAAAATTTGATTTTAAAAGTGGTTTTAAAATTCTTTCCGAACATGTGCTTGGACGTGACGTCACAGCGTCTCGAGTTTGGCGCGCGATCGTGAGAAGCGACGCGGCTTCAAGAGTCCTGAAATTTTCCAAGCGTGGTTTTGGAAAATTTAAGTCGCATTCGAGCTTGAATAACGGAATTTTTGTTTTCGTGTATTTTATGGTGTTGTATCGTAGGTTTTATTATGTCCTAATAGTGCAGATTGTGGATCCGCACGTTTAGACGTGGAAGGGGGGAACTGCAAGAAATACAGTTAAAAAAATGAGTCTAGAGGAAACAGTTGATGGTACCAGTACCGAAAACCGTTACTGTTTAAAAGTTTTCATCACAGATCGACTTGTCGCAGCAGACTCGGCTAACAGTGGACGGATGCTCACAGTCTTTTGAGGTGAGAGCGCTTGATTCTCTGACTCATGATATGATTCTGGGCGTGGATTTCTGTCGTAAAATGGATATTGACGTCCAGTTAGGGAAAGGGTTATGGAGAATCAATGGCCAAGAGTGTCGTAAGGTTGCATCTTTAAAGTTTGTAAACAAAATTTTATCAATTAAAGTTTATGAAAATTTCAATTTAAAATATTCTGAAATTTAATTATTTCAAATAAAATTTTAACTCAAACTCTTCCAAATTCAATTAGTAACTAAATGATTAATTTTAAAAATTATAGTTTTAGTAGTGTTTTTAGAAATAAGATATTTTTTCAGAATATTTCATAAAATTTACGTACATAACAACAATTTTAAGTACCTACAGTAAAAATGTAAATAAATAAAAATATAATAATGTGCATAATATTTTAATTTTTACCTTCAGTCACTCTCGAAATAAATATTCCTTCATCATCACCTTTAAAAGGTGTAGAACCGATTCCACCGGCTATAGACAGTCCAAGTCCACCAGTTGTTCTTTCAATATGAATTTCATATTGCTCTTCCATAACTTCTATAGATGGTTCAGCATCAGATATTGCCTCTAAAAATTACAATTTCTTCTAAAGACCTATAGAAAAAACCTCAGCTTTCGTTACAAAAAAATCGTATTTTTCACACCAAAAAATAATATTTATATTTCATTTTTTTTATTAAAAATGTTTTTTCAAAACTTTATTTTACTAATCGAAAGATTTGTTATTAATTAAAAAATTAATTAAAATTATTAATTAAAAAAATTAAAAATTTTGTTAAATGAGAATTATGCTAAATTAAAACTCGGTTAAATTATAATTTTTTTAATTAAAAAGTTGGATAAAGAAAAATTCTGAAAAATATCAATAATCTAAAAATCCTGTTAAGTAAAAATTCGTTTAAAAAGAAATTCTGTTAAATATTAATTTTAAAAATAAAAATTTCTATAAAAAATAATTATATCTAACAGAATTCTTTGAAATGAAAATTCTAATAAATGATTTTTAAGGGATAATAATGCGCTCTGACTTTTTTTGGGTGAAATATACCTACGATTTTTTTTCTTTTTTTAAACGAAAGATGAGGTTTTTTTTTAGAAAAATAAAATTTTTTCATCTATAGCTTAAATGTTTACGTAATATAAGTTTACCTTGATTATTTTGATCATAATTTTCAACGGAATCCATTGGTACAGGATATGTGACCACACCATCACTATTCTTCTTTAATAATGCCTATGAAAAAATAAATATCTATTTAAACTTTGTTAATGTTTTAATGAATCAAAATAACAATATAGTAATCATGAATAATAAACAACACAGCACCGAAAATTCCCCGAAAACTCATTGAACTAGTTAATTAAATAGCGTTAGCTGGTTTTCAAGATCGGGTTAAATTTTTAAAATAATTGACATTTGGTTTTTTTGCCCATTATCAAAATACAATATTTTTCCTAATCAAAACAATAAAATTAACTTGAAACTCCCCTGGCGGATTGTATGATGCGAATACTCCACGAAATTCGCGGAGCATTCGTGGAACACGAAATTGAGATTGAAATTCTGTCTAAAATGTATAAAAAATGAGGAAATTGATAATATAATTATTAAAATTAATAAGTTTTATGAATTTTAAGATGATTATTGTTAAATAATTATGAAAATTTAATGTTTTTATTAATTTCAATCTATTACAGTTTATTCAACATTTGTCACCAATATTTTTGATAAAAAAAAATAATTTTTTTATACATATTTTTGATAAAACAATTTTTTTTATGAATACATATTTCCTTTAAAAATTACTCTTTCTTTAGCCGTATTTTTGAAAAAATAATTCATTTTTTTAACTTTTTTTTGATAAAAAAATTAATTTCTCACACATATGTTGGTTTAAATAATAAATATTTTTACCAATATTTCCGTTTAAAATTAATATTTTTCACCTGTTTTTATAAACAAAAATAAATTTCTTTCACCAACATTTTTGATTGAAAAATTTATCGTTTTGACCAATATTTTTGATATATAGGGGAGAGTTTGATATCTTATACTGCCCCCTACCTGCTAAAAAGCGCGGCTGTATTGATTATCGAAAAATCTTGATAATAAACTGTAATAAATTGAAATTAATAAAAAACATTAAATTTTTATAATTATTTAACAAGAATCATCTTAAAATGCAAAAAACTTATGAATTTTAATAATTATACTATCAATTTCATCATTTTTTATACATTTTAAACAGAATCTCAATCTCGTGTTCCACAAATGCTCCACGAACTTCGTAGAGCATGCGCATCATACAATCCGCCAGGGTCGTTACTCGGGGGGTTTTTGAGGTCGCTGATTACGAATCCAGTGTCAGTTTTTCAAAATTCAAAATGTCGGATTTAAAAAAAACGTTCGGATTCCATTGCTTTATGAAGCACTTGCATACATTTCGAAATATGTGACCTGGTCTACTAATAGGAATACAAGGTTCGAAAAATTGATTTTCTCTTTTTGGCGATTCTGATGGGAAAAAGACGATGTTTAAGAATCCTTAAGTCAGTTTCAAGAATTTCAAATTTAATATGGTAAATGAATTTCTTACAAATTAACATTTTTAGATTATTCCGAGGATTGAAACATTTTTAAACTTGAAAATATTACTTTTGTATAGAATTTAATTAAATTTTTTAGAATTTATACCGGAAGCAGAGTTTGAGATAAATAGGGAACATTTTGTAAGTGAAAGCACAGATACCGAATCAGAACTGGAGGAAGATGATGCCAACGAAGAAAGTGAATCGGAAATGAGTGAAGAAAACGAAGAAGATTTAGAAGCAGAAATAAATGCTTTAAATGATGAAGCAGATGTATACATTATAGATTATGGTATACCAGAAATAGCAGAGTTACGAAACTGGGAGCTCGAATATCAAATACCTAATGATAATGTTGATAAGCTTCTGAATATTTTTAGAAGAAGAGTATTTCCAAATCTCCCCCAAAACCGCTAAAACACTTTTAGGGACCTCAAATGCAAATTATGAAATATTCCGAATGGAAGACAACAATGGATCAATGGGAAAATTTGTATATTTTGGAATCAGTCAAGGTCATCATGAGTGTATAAATATTAACATCCATGAAAATGATTGTATAGAATTAAAAATTTCTTGCGATGAATTATCATTAGTCAAATCGGGAAGTCAGGAACTTTGGCCAATTTTATGTAAGGTTCATTTTTCTCCAGACTGCTATGAACCTTTTTTGCCGTAGCTATTTATTGCGGTGAATCTATACCGAAAGATGTTGATGCATATTTACAAACATTTATTGATGAAGTAAATTTTTTACAAAGTAATTGCATTAATATTTCTGGTAGGCAGTTTAGCATAAAAATAATGTGCTTTATTTGCGACACGCCGGCACGTGCATTTTTGAAAAAAACAATAGGCCATAAAGGTTTAAATTAGAGCTGTGCAAAAGTTCTAATTTTGTATGGGGCAGGCTAGTAAGTTTTTAAATAAATAATAATATTTTAAGCATGCATATTTAGCTAATTAATTTTATTTTATTTTTCATTTAAGTTAATCAATCATGTGTTGATTAAAATTTATATACTTATGAGCCGAAAGTTCTGAACGTTCATATGAACGAAATATTTTTTTCAAACTATAAATTATTAAAAACTATGATGACCATATGAAATAAAACAGTAAATTAAACAATTATTAAATTAATAACTTCTTTTTAGATATTTTAAACAATATTTTGTAATAAAATTCGTACTTAAAGAAGTTGCAAAAAAAATTTCGTTCATATGAAGGTTCAAAACTTTTGGCTCATATATACTTAATAATATTTAAAATTACTTTTAACTATAATTTCTATGCATTTTTTAGAGAGAATGTTCAAGAAGCAAAAGAAAAACAGCAGTTACTAAAATCGAAATCTCGCCGAAAAAATTATATTTATACTGAAGATTCAGATTATACGGCTGAAGAGAAGGCGAAAATAATAAAATAAACATACCAATCTATAGAAATTTAAAAAATAACGAAATAGACAACTATTTGGAAATAATAAGCAGTAATATATCCTCAGCATTATTTAAAGCCACTCCTAAAAACAAAAACTAAAACCAAACTTCTCCCCAAGATTCACAGACTAAAATATAGAGAGGGTGCCGATGAGTCACACGTGGCCATATTCAAAAACAAATTAAAGGAAGTAAAAACGACATTAAACATTAAATTTAACAAAGAGGTTAATAAATATTGGACAAATAAATTTAAAAAAATTGATGTAAAATATAGTGAAACAATGTTCCCTCAAATAAATTCCATTTTCAGAAATAATTCTAATTCCAACATACCAAATTTAACTGTAGACAAGAATAACAACAATCTCATTAACACTGAAGTAATAAATATAGCCAGGTGTGTCAGATCGGGAATCGCCCCATTAGTCTTCTCCCCAATTTAGGAAAACTCTTTGAAATATTAATAAATAATGCGCTATCCAAACAAATAGTTTCAAAAAAATGTATTCCAAACGAACAATTCGGTTTCAAGCTCGGGTCCTCGACGATCCATGCGGTGACGAAGTTTGTCTCAGATATAAGTAATGCATTGAGCAGGAATAGAATAGTAGCTGCATGTCTAATAGACCTAGAGAAGGCTTTCGACTCCGTGTGGCTGAGAGGTCTGATGTTTAGATTGATAAAAAAAACTTACCAAATCACTTACTCCGAATAATTTGGAACATGATTAGTGGAAAAAAAATGATGGTTTCGCTCCCGGGCGAAATCGAAAGTAAAGAATATATTTTAAAAAATGGCTTGCAACAAGGAGCAGTAAACTTCCCTATTCTTTTTAATTTATTCCTGAGTGATATTTTGAAGGCATTCGGTATAAACAACGAGGAGGGGATTGGCGGGATAGGATTTGCAGATGACCTAGTAATTTACATTGAGGGTAATTTTTTTAATTTAACGCAAGAAAAATTGGAAAACATTTTTCGAAAAATATGCGATTTCTTTAATACTTGAAAACTTAAATGCAATTTCGAAAAATGCGAAACAATTTTGTTTAGACCTCTATTAGAAAAATTAAGTAAAAAATTCAAAAATAAATGGAAAGATTTCAAAATCACGGCCAATGATACTGAAGAAGGGGTAATAAATCACAAAAGGGTGGTAAAATACCTAGGCATTGCCATTGACGACAGACTAAAATACCTAAACCACATTAATATAATTCTAGAAAAAGCGAAAAAAGCTTTCTTTAAATATAAAAATATATTTTATTCAACAAAATTAAACCATAGAGTCAAAATAACATGTTACCTAATCTTAATCAGGCCAATCCTCTCATACAGAAGTCAAATCTGGTTTAGAATATCCCCATCGACCATGGAAAAAATCAGAGTATTTGAAAGAAACTGTATACTGTATTTTTTCTTTTTTACTTCATCCCGTATTTATAGTGTATTTTTTGATAACAAAAATGTTTTCGCCGAATAAATGTACTTGAGTGGAGTGAGATATATTGGGAATGTATTATGCATCCGGGGAGAAAAAAATTCTCGGCGCAAATATGCTTGCAAGTATTCGAACTCATAGTCGACACGACAACTACATTTCAGTATAGTTACGCTTCATCGCATTCTAAGTTTCTTTATAGATTATAAAGATTCGGATGGATAGCAGCAAGGCAAAATACAATTTAAGTTAATTAAGCAAAAAAAAATAAATAAAATAAAAAAAAATAAAAACACACTACAAATCCTAAGGGACTCTTTTTTTTGATAATTTAATTTTTTTTTATATTTCCTTTCTTTCCATTAGAAATGAAGTTTTTGACACCTCTTTAAGTCGACAAATGAATTTCCATTGCCTAAGAATTTAGGAAATACCCGAATTTCCTAGAGATTGACAGGCAGTTCTCAAATTGCCTAGGCATTTCGAGAATTGACTAGGCATTTCGCGAATTGACGAGGCTGTTTCAGGTAAATTTTCAATTTGCCTAAAAAGGCATCGTCATTTTAGGCAAATTGAGAAATAGATTATCTGAGTCATTCATAGACAAAAACAAATAATCAAAATTTCCTTCAATACTCAATTACATTGCTTACTATCATTAGTATCTGTACTGACTTTGAGTTGTAAACATATTAATTATAATGGCTAGTAATAATTCTAAGCATCAGTTGAAAAAAAAATTTAATTCAATTATTAATAA